GGAGTCGGGTGGGAGGAGTCACTGGAGTCGGGTGGGAGGAGTCACTGGAGTTGGGTGGGAGGAGTCACTGGAGTCCGGAGAGGAGGAGTAACTGGTGTCGGGTGGGAGGAGTCACTGGAGTCAGGGGAAAGTCACTGAAGTCGGGTGGGAGGAGTCGGGTGGGAGGAATCACTAGAGTCGGGTGGGAGGAGTCACTGGAGTCATGTGGGAGGAGTCACTGGAGTCGGGTGGGAGGAGTCACTGGAGTCAGGGGGAGTCACTGAAGTCGGGTGTGAGGAGTCGGGTGGGAGGAGTCAGGTGGGAGCAGTCACTGGAGACGGGTGGTAGGAGTCACTGGATTCAGGTGGGAGGAGTCGGGTGTGGGGAGTCACTGGAGTCATAAGGGAGGAGTCACTGTAGTTGGGTGAGGGATGTTACTGGAGTCGGGTGGGGAACACAATGGAGTCGTATGGGAGGAGTCACTAGGGTCGGGTGGGAGTCACTAGAGTTGAGTGGGAGGAATCCTTGGAGTAGGGTGGAAGGAGTCGGGCGGGAGGAGTCACTGGAATCGGAGTGGGGGAAGCACTGGAGTCGGATAGGAGGAGTCACTGGAGGCGGGTTGGAGGAGTCATTGGAGTCGGGTGGGAGGAGTCACTTGAGTTGCGTGGGAGGAGTCACTGGAGTCGGATGGGAGGAGTCTCTGGAATCGGGTGGGACTAATCACTGGAGTCGAGTGGGAGGAGTGGAGGAGTCACTTGAGTCGGTTGGGAGGAAGTCACTGGATTCGGGTGGGAGGAGTCACTGGAGTCGGGTGGGGGGAGTCACTGAAGTCGGGTGGGAGGAGTCACTAGAGTCGGGTGGTAGGAGTCATTAGAGTCGGGTGGGAGGAGTCACTGGAGACGGGTTGAGATGAGTCACAGGAGTCGGGTGGAAGGAGTCACAGGATTCGGGTGGAGAGAGTCACTGGAATGGGGTGGGAGGAGTCGGGTGGGAGGAGTCACTGGATTTGGGTGGAGGGAGTCACTGGAATGGGGTGGGAGGAGTCGTGTGAGAGGAGTCGGATTGGAGTCGTCAGTGGAGTCGGGAGTGGGGAGTCACTGGAGTCGGGAGGGAGTAGTCACTGGAGTCGGTTGGGAGGAGTCACTGGAGTCGGGTGGGGGAATTCACTGGATTCGGGTAGGGGGAGTCACTGGAGTCGGGTGGGAGGAGTCGGATGGAAGGAGTAACTGGAGTCGGGTTGGAGGAGTCACTGGAGTCGGGTGCGAGGAGTCAGATGGAAGGAGTAACTGGAGTCGGGTTGGAGGAGTCACTGGAGTCGGGTGCGAGGAGTAACTGGAGTCGGGTGGGACGAGTAACTGGAGTCGGGTGGGAGAAGTCATTTGAGTCGGGTGGGAGGAGTCACTGGAGTCGGGTGGGAGGAGTCACTGGAGTCGGGTATGAAGTCGTCGGTGACTGTGGTAGCTGGTCTGGAGGTGACTCCTCCACTAAGATATGAGACACTTATCTCGTTTCACTCATATTTTTTCACTTGGTGCATATCTGTGAGGGACGGTTATGAGGGCATTATGTGACAGTATGTGAGTGACGGTTATGAGGGCATTATGTGACAGTGAATGACGGTAATGAGGACATTATGGAACAATATGTTAGTGACGGATATGAGGGCATTATGGGACAATATGTGAGTGACTGTTATGAGGGCATTATGGGACAGTGAATGACGGTAATGAGGACATTATGGAACAATATGTTAGTGACGGATATGAGGGCATTATGGGACAATATGTGAGTGACTGTTATGAGGGCATTATGGGACAGTGAATGACGGTAATGAGGACATTAAGGAACAATATGTTAGTGACGGATATGAGGGCATTATGGGACAATATGTGAGTGACTGTTATGAGGGTATTATGGGACAATATGTGAGTGACTGTTATGAGGGTATTATGGGACAATATGTGAGTGACTGTTATGAGGGTATTATGGGACAATATGTGAGTGACAGTTGTGAGGACATTTTGCAACAATATGTGAGTGACGGTTATAAGGGCATTATAGGACAGTGAGTGACGGTAATGAGGACATTATGGGACAGTCTGAGAGTGACGGTTATGAGGTCATTATGGGACAATATGTGAGTGACGGTGCTTCACAACGGTGTTCCTGGTGCCTCATGCACACAGGCGAGGTAAGTGAGGAGAAACCAGTGACGGTTAGTGAGAGAAGTCACTGTCACCAGTGGAAACAGTGAGGAACCAAGAGGGGAAATCAGTGACAACAATATGGTAATGGAGGGAACCGAGCGATCACAGTGAGGTGACGGGAAAAATAATTTTTTTGTAATAAAAATGTAATAATAATAATAATAATAATGATAAAAATAATAATAATGGCCCTTAAGCAGAAGATCGAAACATGTATGGATGCACCTGAGTGTGTATGTGAATAATACTGTCGGAAATCCGACACATAACACACGTACTAGTGGCTTTACAAGATTGTAATTACTATACTATGTATCCTCACAATCCCAATGTACCTTCTTGTATATATATAAGTAAATAAATAAATAAATAAATAAACTAATATATTAACATAGTTACCGCCATAAGATGTTGTTAATTTACTTTAGTTAGACAATAAATGAAAAGAGAATGGGTTATATGTGACGTCACGTCACAACACATCTCATATCTTTAAAACAACAGTCTAGTGATTAAAAATATTTAAAAAAGTGTTCACTATGACTGGATCTAATATAATTATCAATAAAAGTATAGGTTACCTCTTTATTGTCTTAAACGACAAATTAGGAACCGTATTTTCGGGACGCCTCGGGAGTTTACAAGAGTTTTACATTCTTGTAAAGCCACTATTACGCGTAGCGTTTCGGGCAAGGTCCTTAACCCTAATTTCCCCGGAATACGACCCCGCCGAATCGTTTAACAACCAGGTACCCATTCACTGCTGGGTGAACAGAGGCTACAGTTAAGGATTGGCGCCCGGTCAATCCTCCCCGGCCAGGATTGGGAGGAGGCAGCGAGTCGAGTCATTGAATGTAAACAAACCAAAAGCAACAAGACAGAGTGCAGCTCAAATTGTCACGAGCGGATCTCATACACTTCCCACAGCCCGTCCTCCAAACAAAGATCCAAAAGTGATTCCATCCACCCGCCAAACCCCCTGTTTATGAATGAAAAGCGGTTTACACACGACTCACAACTGATTTCGTTCGAACACTTCCGGAACAAGTGCTTCACTGACGAGTTTTGTTCGAACCACAACGCTATAAATGCTTCACCCACGTACTACAAATGCAAATAATCGCCAACCGAACCTAAACACCTAACCTAACCTAACCTATGCCTATATATGCACAATATCCTAATATATTATAATATTAATTTATATTTGAGAAAATTCTTGTTTTGAATGAACAGCATGTTAAAATTTATGAATGCGTCTGTGGGGACGACCGCTGGATGTAATGGACTTGAGTCGAGGACGGGTTGCTTCCCACGAGCTTCCACAAAGGAACCACTAAGTTTCCGATCAACCGAAGATCTCACTACCTTGGGAAGTATTGTATCCGGTCTACAAATAGAATATAATTTAACATAATATATTTTGGTCATTATAATTATAGTTATATGTCGTGTAGTCCGGTTATGATGAAAGAAAAAACAACCACAAGGGTAAGCCAGGTTTACTAATAACAAGTTGACGCCTTTGCTAAGGTTGCAGTAAATAAAGAAAGTATTGGACGGAATCTTGAGTTATCAAATAAGTCCTTTAAAAGTGTCATTAGACGAGAACTCCTGGATGAATTTGAAGAAAGTAGAACAGTGCAAACTGGAACTGGCAGGTCCATTGTTCATCACAATGAAATGTGTGAAGTAAAACATGTGTATGGGGAAAGTAACAAAGTAAGTAGACTAACAGATGTTGTCACAGTTCGTATAAGACTTGGCCACAAGTATCTCTGGCCGTTCGGCTTGTATAGGGATCTAGATGAAGTAAAGTGTAAAGTATGTGGACAAAGGCAGGGACACTACATCTTGGATTGTAGTAAAAATGAGCCATTTAGAGATAAATCTAAGCTCCCTCTGTATGATATGGCAACCTATCTGGATAATTTACCAGAAATCCTTGCACTGTATCCATATTTCGCTTCCAGTAGATAAACGACATATGAGATGAAGAAACAAGTAGTGTATTGTGAAGACTAATAATAAACAGAAGCTCCCCTATGACTCTGTAATATCTCCATTTGTCAAACTATTATGTATTAGCGATAAGACCTACCATTAATGTATAATGACTTACTGTAAATAACTGCTCTTCAAACAGCGCTTTCTCTGTAACTAGCTGACATTGTAACTATAAGGTGTGAAGGATAGATGAAATTGTTTAATTAATGATCTAAGATGAGGTCTGATAAAGACCTTTTGTGCCCTCGATAATACTTTTTGCACCACCGCTCACGAGTATGGGGTGCACAATAAACTAGTCGCCTCCGGCGGCAACAATCAAACAGAATCAAAATAAAGTTTCCTTGTTATATAACACATTTGTGGATGCAGTTTAGTACTCTATAATGATTTCCTGGTGTGGTTCACGGGAGAGAAGTTACGAAGAGCTTTAACATCTACATAATTTGAACAGTCACCAGTAACCCCGCTCCTACCATTATCCCCGGTCCTACCATTAACCCCGGTCCTACCATTAACCCCGGTCCTACCATTAACCTCAGTTCTACCATTATCCCCGGTCCTACCATTAACCCCGGTCCTACCATTAACCCCAGTCCTACCATTAACCCCGGTCCTACCATTAACCCCGGTCCTACCATTAACCCCGGTCCTACCATTAACCCCGGTCCTACCATTAACCTCAGTTCTACCATTATCCCCGGTCCTACCATTAACCCCGGTCCTACCATTAACCCCGGTCCTACCATTAACCCCGGTCCTACCATTAACCTCAGTCCTACCATTAACCCTGGTCCTACCACTAACCTCGCTCCAACCATTAACCCCGGTCCTACCATTAACCCCGGTCCTACCATTAACCCCAGTCCTACCATTAACCCCGGTCCTACCATTATCCCCGGTCCTACCATTATCCCCGGTGCTACCATTAACCTCGGTCCTACCATTAACCCCGGTCCTACCATTATCCCCGGTGCTACCATTATCCCCGGTCCTACCATTAACCCCGGTCCTACCATTAACCCCGGTCCTACCATTAACCCCGCTACTACCATTAACCCCGCTACTACCATTAACCCCGCTCCTACCATTAACCCCGCTCCTACCATTAACCCCGCTCCTACCATTAACCCCGCTACTACCATTATCCCCGGTCCTACCATTAACCCCGGTCCTACCATTAACCCCGGTCCTACCATTAACCCCGGTCCTACCATTAACCCCGCTCCTACCATTAACCCCGCTACTACCATTAACCCCGCTACTACCATTAACCCCGCTCCTACCATTAACCCCGCTCCTACCATTAACCCCGCTCCTACCATTAACCCCGCTACTACCATTATCCCCGGTCCTACCATTAACCCCGGTCCTACCATTAACCCCGGTCCTACCATTAACCCCGCTACTACCATTAACCCCGCTCCTACCATTAACCCCGCTACTACCATTATCCCCGGTCCTACCATTAACCCCGGTCCTACCATTAACCCCGGTCCTACCATTAACCCCGCTACTACCATTAACCCCGCTACTACCATTAACCCCGCTACTACCATTAACCCCGCTCCTACCATTAACCCCGCTCCTACCATTAACCCCGCTACTACCATTAACCCCGCTACTACCATTAACCCCGCTCCTACCATTAACCCCGCTCCTACCATTAACCCCGCTCCTACCATTAACCCCGCTCCTACCATTAACCCCGCTACTACCATTAACCCCGCTACTACCATTAACCCCGCTCCTACCATTAACCCCGGTCCAACCATTAACCCCGGTCCTGGACCACGTGTGGCAACCACATCCTGGTGATGGAGGATCAGCTCTCACACATCTTGAGGTTATCTTGAGATGATTTCGGGGCTTTTTAGTGTCCCCGCGGCCCGGTCCTCGACCAGGCCTCCACCCCCAGGAAGCAGCCCGTGACAGCTGACTAACTCCCAGGTACCTATTTACTGCTAGGTAACAGGGGCATTCAGGGTGAAAGAAACTTTGCCCATTTGTTTCTGCCTCGTGCGGGAATCGAACCCGCGCCACAGAATTACGAGTCCTGCGCGCTATCCACCAGGCTACGAGGCCCCCCTTCCATACAGCCTATGATTAACTTTTACTAATCTAACCTTAACTTTTATACTAACTATAAATATACAATATAACATTATAATGTTACGATAGTACTAACATATTATACTGTAGTTTGCTTATGTCCACCAATTGTGGTATAAACTTTGTACCATTAACCATTAACCTGTAAAGGGAGCCGGTCGGCCGAGCGGACAGCACGCTGGACTTGTGATCCTGTGGTCCTGGGTTCGATCCCAGGCGCCGGCGAGAAACAATGGGTAGAGTTTCTTTCACCCTATGCCCCTGTTACCTAGCAGTAAAATAGGTACCTGGGTGTTAGTCAGCTGTCACGGGCTGCTTCCTGGGGGTGGAGGCCTGGTCGAGGACCGGGCCGCGGGGACACTAAAAGCCCCGAAATCATCTCAAGATAACCTCAAGATAACCTCCCCCCTACTTGTGTTCAGATAAAACACCTAGCAGGATAAATATTAAAATACAGTCCACCTTGAAGTAATAATTCAATATTGAAGAAAGTTCAATAAACTAAAATCAATAATTAAATTAAAAAACACATTACTGTCTGCTAGGAATTACCCCAGAGCTACACAGTATTCAGAAATTTACATCCGTATGAGTGCTGAAGTATGTAAGGAGCCTCACACTCACTCGCAGCTGCCTGACAAGAGACAGTAAGCTTAGCTACAACACACACACACATCGTGTCAGCAAGGCGGTCAGCCCGCCTCCTATCATTACTCTTACTTTATTTCTCATTTCTAAACTTCCCCTCCACCTGTGCCTCACCATCTTCTCTCCCTCCACTACCCTCCCATTGTCAATCCATCTTCCAAACACCACCTGTTGGGCTGTTTCACGTGAGCAGCAATATGTGAATGATATTGGATGAGTACCAGAGATGCAGCCTCACCCCACCACACACGGGGTGGATGAGTACCAGAGACGCAGCCTCACCCCACCTCACACGGGGTGGATGAGTACCAGAGACGCAGCCTTACCCCACCACACACGGGGTGGATGAGTACCAGAGACGCAGCCTCACCCCACCTCACACGGGGTGGATGAGTACCAGAGACGCAGCCTCACCCCACCTCACACGGGGTGGATGAGTACCAGAGACGCAGCCTCACCCCACCACACACGGGGTGGATGAGTACCAGAGACGCAGCCTCACCCCACCTCACACGGGGTGGATGAGTACCAGAGATGCAGCCTCACCCCACCACACACGGGGTGGATGAGTACCAGAGACGCAGCCTCACCCCACCACACACGGGGTGGATGAGTACCAGAGACGCAGCCTCACCCCACCACACACGGGGTGGATGAGTACCAGACACGCAGCCTCACCCCACCACACACGGGGTGGATGAGTACCGGAGACGCAGCCTCACCCCACCACACACGGGGTGGATGAGTACCGGAGACGCAGCCTCACCCCACCACACACAGGGTGGATGAGTACCAGAGACGCAGCCTCACCCCACCACACACGAGAGTGGTTCATACCGCTCCTCAGGAACCAGTTGATGAACTGGTTTACCAGTTTACAGTTCATCGAGAAGCGAAAACATATTTAATCATCAGTCATTACTGTTTTCATTACTTCATTATATACATTGAAGTAGAATAATGAAGAAAAGAAGAAGGGAACACCTGCGTTACCTGTTAATTAAAACCTGTTCCTGGAGGAGGCGAGGCTTGCTGCCAGACGTAAGAAGTCGGGAACTTGGTTCAAGTTGCCAGGACAATGGCCGCTTGCTGCCAGACGTAAGAAGTCGGGAACTTGGTTCAAGTTGCCAGGACAATGGCCGCTTGCTGCCAGACGTAAGAAGTCGGGAACTTGGTTCAAGTTGCCAGGACAATGGCCGCTTGCTGCCAGACGTAAGAAGTCGGGAACTTGGTTCAAGTTGCCAGGACAATGGCCGCTTGCTGCCAGACGTAAGAAGTCGGGAACTTGGTTCAAGTTGCCAGGACAATGGCCGCTTGCTGCCAGACGTAAGAAGTCGGGAACTTGGTTCAAGTTGCCAGGACAATGGCCGCTTGCTGCCAGACGTAAGAAGTCGGGAACTTGGTTCAAGTTGCCAGGACAATGGCCGCTTGCTGCCAGACGTAAGAAGTCGGGAACTTGGTTCAAGTTGCCAGGACAATGGCCGCTTGCTGCCAGACGTAAGAAGTCGGGAACTTGGTTCAAGTTGCCAGGACAATGGCCGCTTGCTGCCAGACGTAAGAAGTCGGGAACTTGGTTCAAGTTGCCAGGACAATGGCCGCTTGCTGCCAGACGTAAGAAGTCGGGAACTTGGTTCAAGTTGCCAGGACAATGGCCGCTTGCTGCCAGACGTAAGAAGTCGGGAACTTGGTTCAAGTTGCCAGGACAATGGCCGCTTGCTGCCAGACGTAAGAAGTCGGGAACTTGGTTCAAGTTGCCAGGACAATGGCCGCTTGCTGCCAGACGTAAGAAGTCGGGAACTTGGTTCAAGTTGCCAGGACAATGGCCGCTTGCTGCCAGACGTAAGAAGTCGGGAACTTGGTTCAAGTTGCCAGGACAATGGCCGCTTGCTGCCAGACGTAAGAAGTCGGGAACTTGGTTCAAGTTGCCAGGACAATGGCCGCTTGCTGCCAGACGTAAGAAGTCGGGAACTTGGTTCAAGTTGCCAGGACAATGGCCGCTTGCTGCCAGACGTAAGAAGTCGGGAACTTGGTTCAAGTTGCCAGGACAATGGCCGCTTGCTGCCAGACGTAAGAAGTCGGGAACTTGGTTCAAGTTGCCAGGACAATGGCCGCTTGCTGCCAGACGTAAGAAGTCGGGAACTTGGTTCAAGTTGCCAGGACAATGGCCGCTTGCTGCCAGACGTAAGAAGTCGGGAACTTGGTTCAAGTTGCCAGGACAATGGCCGCTTGCTGCTTGGCTCTTGTCTTCTCCTGCTTCGTCCTCCTCCTCCTCCTCTTCGTCTCCTTCTGTCTACATATTTTGTACCTTATTACTTTTAACTTTTTATTATTTTCTTCATAACCTAATGTTATTTTCGTAAATATTTATTTCACAATCACTACAAATGTACTCACACAACAAACAAACAAACACACACACACACACACACACACACACACACACACACACACACACACACACACACACACACACACACACACACACACACACACACACACACACACACACACACACACACACACACACGCACACACACACACCGGAGTCATTGCTATAAACAACCGATGTCTAGAAAGGCGGGATCCAAGAGTCAATGCTCGGTCCTACATGCACAAATAGGTGAACACAAATTGGTGAGAACGCAATTTTGTTTGTACAAAATGGACGAGTACCGGAGACTCGTTGCTACATAACGGTGCTACCTAACATAGCTAGATTAGTTAATAAATGGAATGCATTCGGCAGTGATGTGGTGGAGGCTAACTCCATACACAGTTTCAAGTGTAGATATGATAGAGCCCAATAGGCTCAGGAATCTGTACACCAGTTAATTGACAGTTGAGAGACGGGCCCAAAGAGCCAGAGCTCATCCTCCGCAAGCACAACTAGGTGAGTACACACACACACAGATCCGAAAGGACAGCACTTTGGGGGGGGGGGGGTTGTGGTCATCAGGGCCAGGGTTCGATTCCCAGCGGAGGCGGAAACAAATGAGCAGTTTCCTTCACCCTGATTTACCTGTTCACATAGCAGTAAATAGGTACCTAGGACTTAGACAGCAGCTACGGCTGCTTCCTGAGGATGTGTGGGTGCTAGAGAGAACTATATGTGGTGGATATAATAGGAGAAACATTTAGGTCGGGAAACGTAAATGTACGTGTGCGGCAGAGGAGGAAAAAGGGGAGAGAGAGAAAAAGCATTTTGTGTCTTCTAACCAAAGTCGGGCTCTTACCAGCCCTATCAAACCCCCCATACATTACGTCCTCCTATGATGGAGTGATAGACGGCCGACAGGCTTTAATAAAAACTTATACAACTCCTGGTGACATTAGTCCAGTCACCAGGAGTCACCAGGAGGCCTGGTCGACGACCGGGCAGTGGGGATGCTAAGCCCCGGAACTACCTCAAGGTAATATAGTCAACTGGTGGTTAGAAAGATTACAAGAGTTAGGGGAGACATTATCACCACTTATAAAATTCTCAGATGAATTACCAGAATAGATAAAGATCAATTATTGAGCACTGGTTGTACGCTAATAAGGGGACACAGGTGAAAACTTAGTATCTAAATGAGCCAAAAAACATTAAAAAACTTTTTCAGTGTCAGAGTAGTTAACAGATGGAATGCATTAGGAAATGATGTGGTGGAGGCAGACTCCATACACAGTTCCAAATGTAGATATGATAGAGCCCAATATGCTCAGGAACCTGTACACGAGATCATCGACAGTGGAGAGGCGGGACCAAAAAGGCGAAGCTCAACCCCCAGAAGCACAAATAGGTGAGTACAACTATGTGAGCACAAAGATTGACAAGTCAGGTAAGTGGAAATTAATGAAATTAGGTGAAGGGAGCAGGAGGCTCAACACAAGGTATCATCTGGGAGGTGAAATCCCGCAATAGTCAATAGAGAGAAAGATCTAGGGGGTTGATATCACACCGAATCTGTCCCCAGAAGTCCACATTAAAAGGATAGCATCAGTGACATATGCTAGATTGGCAACATAAGAACTGTCTTTAAAAACTTGAGAAAAGAATCATTCAGCACCTTGCATACCACTCGATGATCTATAATGAATCACGAAGGGAGAGTTTCTCAGTTGCTGGAAGAAGGGAAATGTGGTACCAATTTTCAAAAAAAGGAGATAGGGAACCTACCTTGAGGTTACCTTGAGGTGCTTCCGGGGCTTAGCGTCTCCTGGTTGCCGGACTGATCAACCAGGCTGTTGGACGCGGCTGCTCGCAGCTTGACGTATGAATCACAGCCTGGTTGATCAGGTATCAACCTGATATTAGAGGGGGAGGAGGCACTTAATTACAGACCAGTGTCACCGACAAGCATCCCCCTGTAACGTTCTGAAAGAATAATCAGGTTAAGACTGGTTACACATCTTGAGAACATTAGGTATGTAAACAAACATCAACATGGGTTCAGAGAAGGTAAATCATGCCTAACAAACCTTTTGGAATTATATGATAAAGTACCAAGAATAAAGCAGGACAGAGAAGCATGAGCAGACTGCAAATTTCTGGACTGCCAAAATGCCTTTGACACATTACCGCACAGGAGACTGCTATTCAAACTTAAGAGGCAGGCGGGAGTAAGCGGAAAAGCTCTAGCTTGGGAAAAGAATTACTTAACAGTCAGGGGCGAGAAGTCAGACTGACGCATCGCAACGAGTGGAGTACCTCAAGGATTGGTGCTGGGACCAGTTCTATTTTTAATATACGTGAATGACATCTTTACAGGAGTCGAGTTCTATATCTCGATGTTCGCGGATGACGCGAAATTAATGAGACGAGTTGTGACAGATGAGGATTGTATGATACTCTAAGAGGACTTGAACAAACTGCAGAGAGGGGCACAAAAATGGCTACTGGAGTTCAACACGAGCAAGTGCGAAATTATGGAAATGGGACTAGGTGACAGGAGACCAAAGGATCAGTACACAATAATGGGAAACTACCTTCCTGTGACGATTCGAAAAAGAGACCTGGGAGTGGACGTAACAACAAATCTAACTCCTGAGGCACATATAAATCGGATAAAGACAGCAGGATACTCTACGCTAGCAAAGGTTAGAACGTCATTCAGAAACTTAAGTAAGGAGGCATTCAGAGTGCTTTACACTGCCTACATGAGACCAGCCTAGGGTATGCAGCCCCATCATGACGCCCCCTTGGAAACACAAACGGTAACTGTCACTATTTTCCGCTTGTTACAACTTGTAATAAAGTTGTTCCATCTTGCCTTAACGTGTTTATGACGTATTAGAACGTTGTTACAACTTACTATATTGGTTGTTATAACTGGTTAGGTGTTAAAATTTGTTCGAACGTTGTAGCAACGTCGTAGTTTCGGTGTGTGTGTTTGGCGGGCCCCACCTTAAGAAACACATTAAGGAACTAGAGAAGGCTAAAAAAAAAAATGCGACGAGGCTAGTCTCGGAGTTGCACGGGATGGGTTATGAAGAGCGATTGAAGGAAAACGTTACAACGTTAGAAAAAGGGTGGGAGCGAGAGATATGATAGCAGCATTCTAAATACTTAGGGAGATTGACAGAGTGGAAATAGATTAAATATTCACACGGAATACCAACAGAACACGAGGAGATGGGTGGAAGCTGGAAACTCAGATGAGTCATAGAGATGTTAGATAGTTTTCTTTTAGCGTGAGAGTAGTGGGGCACTGGAATGTACTAGAGGAGCACGTTGTGGAAGCAAACACTATTCATAGCTTTAAAACTAGGTATGATAGAGAGGAAGGACAGGAGTCATTCCTTTAATCAACCGAAGGCTAGAAAGACGGGATCCAAGAGCTAATGCTTGATCCTGCAGGCGCAAGTAGGTGAGTACACACACACACACACACAATTGGAGGACAA